GCGGTTAGCATGGTTAGCTTATCCTATGCAAAGTAACATGTTTGACTTCGGCCGAGTATCTTTTTAAAGATACTTCTTGTTTATAATATATTCTTTAAAATTGTTCTGTAACTTAATCTCAAGATGGTTTTTGAATAGAAACAACATTTGTTAACAAGGTTTTGTACAGTTATTAATTAATTAACTTAACAGAGTTTGACCAAATTACTTTACAAAAATGTTCAATGTATCGTTAGAACAGTATAAGATGTGAAAGTATCAAAGGAACAGTGATTTAATTAGAATGAGAGCTGAATGATAAAATAAGTTATACATCATTTTAAAAATGTCATTGACCGGATTAATTCAAGTAGTTCTTATCTATCAATGACAACCTTTGGAATGAACTATATCTCGTATGCTTGTATCACAGATTAAAATCCCAAGGTATCAGCCATCTATAATAAGAAACATATTTTTAGTGCTAATGACAAACTATTTTGTTAGCATAATCATATGGCAATGGAGATGATTGAAAGTTAATTATAAGAAATATTTAATGAGAAGAGGTAAGCAACAAATGTTGGTATTCGTACATTATTGAGAAGAGCCTTGCGGAGATCAACTATCGAAGTAAATAAGATGTACATTAAATTTGTTTTACTTGTGTGAGTAATAAGGGAGACCTTGTCTTCGTTCATGAAACAGCATTGATTTGTAGACACAAATCTAAAAAACAATGTGGTATCATTAATAATTATTTGTTAACAAGAATACCACATACATTTTGAACAAAAGGTGAATACATATTTTTTCCAGGTCTTTATTTTCAGAAAATGTATGTTAAATTCCAGTTAATTTGGTAAATCGTTTCACATTAGGTAAAACTATTGAAGTTAAAACATTTGTACGAGAATGTGGTTTAACATTAAAAAAGATAGAACATCATTGAAATTAGACTTTAGGTTTAATGTCATCAATTTCAATAATGTTTTATGTCATAATGTTTAATATGAATATATATTTATATTTTTAAATATGTTAATATTAGCAGAAGGTACATTGTGCCTCAGAAATCAATAAAAAATATATTCTTTAGTTAGAAGTCAAACATTTATTAAATAATGTAATAATTATGTATTTAGAGCATTTAAGATGAAAATTACCTCAATAAAGTAGATTTGAATGTGCGAAAATGTGTCAATAAAGTGTAAAATGTAAACAAACTAGTATTTTGACTTCCATCCAAAATATCAAATCACTGTAACTATACCAATTGAAAAAGAGGAAAAGGAGAAAATATAGTTTTTCTATATAGTTTATAAGTAACTTTTTGGAAATTGTAACACGATACCAAAAATTAAAAAAGATAAATATAACTGATAGCATTTTGAAAGCCTAATGGGCCTTAACCGCTTTGTAATGATTATACCTCCTATTGCAAAGCAAATTAAATGGAAGGTATTTGTTTTTATAAAACAAGACTTCAAATACTTTGTTATACTGTAATATGAATACTTTCAGAGAAAAATGTTTTTACTTTGTTTGATTTTGCTATCACGAAACATTAAATTAATTATAACCTGATTTTTAACATTATAATTTTAATTACGATATTAATATCATACTTAAAATATCTTCTAGTAACAAAAATTGTCCTAAGATATTATCATCAACCAAAAAATGTTCCCTAAAAGCAATGAAAACTATAAAATTATATGACAATTAGAGACACGCTTTAATTGAGACTGTTTATAGGAGATAATGTTCAAGTACAACTTTTTTCACGTCTCTAGCACCTGCAACCGGCATAAGCAGTATTCAATATTCATCTTTATATATCCCTTGTGGCTGAATGGTTGTCTTTGTTCAGGTATACGAATTGCAGCCACTGTTTGCCCCTGTGTGGTCGTAAAGGGCGACTAAAAGGGTTCAAATCATTGGAATCTAAACATCTCTTAGCTCTTGCTGGTGAGGTTGTTTTTGACCCCTTGTGTTGCTTGGAAGTTTGTAACTCCTTAGGTTAGCCAAAATTATTTTTCCTGTGTCGGCGTAATATGGCATATGACCTGCATTGTAAACTTAAACAAAAAAACACTCCTCTTTAAATTTACTTAAAACACTGATCCAAAAAACAAGTTAATTTAAAAGTTAAGCACCGAGCCACTCTGCCACACACCTGGCGAGCGTTTCACTAACATTACGTAAGTTTTGCGTATCTATTTACGTAAATTTGGACTTACGCAAAACGCAAATTTACGTTAGTTGCGTTTCACTAAACAGAACGTAGCGTAATTTTACGACACTGAAAATTTACGTTAACCGACTTTTCAATAGGAGGTAAAAAAGCGCTCCCGGATGTTGACAAGTCGTCTGTCAAAACGTCAAAATGGATAAACACCCGGACAAAAAACGGAAGGAAAACTGGACAAAGGGGGAGGTGGAGGCGTTGTTGACTGGTTACATCAATAACCACAGCGAAATAGAAAGTAGATTTTCTATTAAACTGACTGCCCAAGTTAAGGAGGCTTGTTGGCAGGATATTTTGGAGAGGTAAATTATCATGTTACGATGTAGGTCCGTCGAAAGTAAAGTAAGCAGAGCCTAGATCTATATTTGGCCTCGTCCTAAATTTTTTTAAATATAACGTCGCTTGATATTTGTGCTTCTTGGCAAAGCACAAGGCTTGATCGACATAAACTATAACAAGTCTGTAAGGTCTGGTAGATTCTATATTGATCTATCCCGAAACGAATCCGGGTCAGCTCGGGCGGCCCTTAAACGTACTCGGCCACCGAGTCAGCTCGGCCCTATACCAACTCAACACGTATATTGTACTGTACATATGTTATAACATTTAGTGTAAGTTTTTTTAAAATCCTGTAAAAACTGTTGAAAATCATTGAATTTTCTACAATTTTTAGTACTAAGCCCATCTTGCACAAATTCTTTAGTGGTGATTACCCTGCTGTTTGAATTTAGGTTAAAATATCACTCACTCCCTGGGAGTGACCTGAGTGGGTCATATTGTTTTTATTGTTTTTCTAAGAAAGATTAAGACATATTGGAAATGTACCAACCATAAAATGAATAAATGTTCATAGATGCATTAATATCTAATATGAATTTAAAGCATAATTTCCCCTTCCATTTATTATTGGCTAAAAACAACTTAACTGATTGAATATTGGTTGTTCCGGGATATATTTGGCCCATTTTTAATTAAAGAATACGGAAAAAAATATAGGATGAAACAGAGATCTGCCGAGGACGCGATTTTGCGCCATTGGCGCTAAAAAAATTAGAATGGCGCAGGAAAATCGGCAGCAAAGGGCCATGGGCGCATCAAAAATCTGTGCCAGACTTATAAGAAAACAAAACTGTCTGCTGGGTTATTTAGTCATCCAGTCAAAACTGGTACCAACAGCAACATGTTACCCATGCTCCTGTAATTACGCATATTCTTTAGTTTATCCATTCCCCTATAGCTTTTGTCCATGTTATCTACTTACCGCATTTCTTCTCATAATCCCTTTCCCACACAGATACTCATTTCTACTACCGTAAATTTAATCCAATAAAACAAACAAACAAATTATACAACTACTTAATATTTAAAATGATTATCGGTAACTGAAAAAAAAAAAATTGCTATTTTAAGAAATGCTGTAAGTTACAGTATAATCTGACAGGTGTTCAACTTGATCAACCCTAAGGTCACTCAAGTTCACGCAAGTTTTGGCTGATGAAGTGTAAAAAAAGATGTATATTTCGTCATCAGAATGTTTGACAGGGTGATTAACCAATCAGAGAAACATTGTGCATGACTTTTTTCATGATCAAAAGGTCTGTCGGCAAATGTCTGTGATGTATGCTGTCTACACAGAGGCATACAAGGGGCAATAAAATTCGTCAATATACAGTGGTAAGGGACATTTGGTGCAAAGTAGGAACAATTAAATGGATAATGCACAATATAAGACATTACAAGTAAGAACCAGCAATTATGTGAATAAATTTGCATATCAAATTTTTGAGCAGCCATTAAAAAAATATTTTCATTTTTGCCTGCAATTAATATTAGTTAGAAAGTTACCATGTAGGCATAATTTTTTAATTATTGTAAAGTACTGAATTATAAGTGAACCACTTGTCATAAAATATGATTTAAGATTTATTACCAGGGAAATTCAATTATCTACAAACTTTTTAACAATTATTTTGGTCAATGTTTACTTATTTTCCCAAGGCCCATACTTTGGTAAAAATGGCCCATCATTTTCAGACCAAGTGGGCCCAGGGCCCAGTACTTTCAAATTCTTGGCAGATCTCTGGATGAAATAATAAAAAATAAAATCGTATGAGTGTCAAACATCTTTATTTCTTTAATTATGTGCTTTGTACAGGCAGCGTCCTTCAAATAGAAAGACTCTGGTACTGGGAAGGACTTACAGTTACTTATAATCTATAAAACGTTACATATACTGGGATCCTACATATTACCGGACAAAATATGATGTTTTTTCGCTGTAACTTTTATTCAAAATAATAAAAAAGAAAGAAATTTTACCCAAATATATGTGGGTTCTTAATATAAGTAAACATTCCTTTATCAAACATAAAATCAAACATTTGACCATAGACATGTGTCTTTAAATTAGGGCATTAAAAGATGAAAAAAATTGTGTAGACAACTCAATTTACCGGACATGTATAGAACATTGTGTTTCAATTTTTTTGGAAGTCTAATTAAATTGAAATTTAGCAAGGAAACTACGACTATTGAATGTCAATGTTAAGATACTGTAGTAAAAGTCCACAGAATGTTACTTTCTAGTAATTTCTACAGGTACAATGTGTAGTTTGAAATTTATGGAAATAAGTGATTAGTTAAAGGTCATATAATTATACAAATGTAAAAGTACTAAACATCATTACAAAAATTCCAGGACGAAAAAAAAATGAGGCCTGCATTCAACATTGTCTATTGTTATCTTAAATATTTTTTTCTGTCAATTCAGTGTTAACAGCCAGAGTTCCTGTACCAGAACCATAAATGAACTTAAAAAAAATGGTCCGACCTTAAAATGGCTATTAAAAAAAGGGAGAGAGAACGTCGGCTGTTTGCCAGTAAGACTGGAGGAGGGCCACCTCCAGCTAATCCAGACAGTTTGGAAGAAAAGGTAATCAAATAGCATGCATTTGAAACAAACCTGTCTTTATCCCAATTTCACTTGCAAAAAAAATATGTTATATATTCTATGTGTTTTCAACTTGTGTCAAAAATACATTAATTTTGTACATCATGTAAATTTTTTTCTGAAAAATCCTAATTTTTGTTTCTTTATATTTTGTTTCAAGGGATAAATTGATTTAAAAAAAACTAAACTATGATTTACTTCAATCTTAAGTTAACTTTTAGGTTCTACAGTTGATTGGAGAGAGTACAGTTGCTGGTATTTCGGGTGTAGGTACCTTCAGGGAAAACTGTAAGTAAATTTCAATCCAAAAACATGTGTTTCTTGAAGTACAAGTAATGATAAACATTTCAGAATTAGTTAATAATAATGATTTGTAAAAATAGGAATTTAGTAATTATGGCAATTGTTTTTCCAATAAATTTATGTTCATCCAGAAAAAATGTAATTGATAACTGTTACAACAGACAAGTTTGCATCCAGATAGTTTAGTGGTAGAACAGCTGTTACTTTGTGACAGAAGGCCTGGGTTCAATTCCCAGTTTGGATTACTGTTTTGTTTTGTTGACAGTTGTCATTACTTTTTCCTTTGTCCAAGTTCTTTTAATTATTTAATTAAAATTTTTTTGCAAAAGTTTGTTTATGTATTCATGCTATTATGTTGATTCTCAGTTTTATGATTTTAAGTTTGGGATTTGCTACCCAAGCCTTGTTTGTTCCTAGGCAGCTGAAAAATCCAATACTGCTTATTAGTATGGAATAGTTGCAAATATATTTGTGGATTTAATGGGTAAAACTATAGCATAAAAATGTTATTTCATCAGACACCATTAACTTTGAAACAGAAATGAGTTTTGTTTGACATTCAGTATATAACTAATTTTCACAGCATTTAATTTTGTTTATTTTCACAAATAAAATTTATTTGTCTTTAGTGTCTTCTTCTATCAGCAACATGAGCAATGTGCAAGAGGCTTCTTGTACAAATGATGGAGATGCTGATGCTTCAAGTAGTGGTAATTTGGCAGAATCAGCACCATCTGCTACACTTGTTAATACAAGTAACTCTGTAAGTCTAATTATATGTTTCCCTATGTTCAAGCATAATATTTTCTATGAACATGTATCATAATATTCATGTGGAGTAAAATGTCTGTGTCCCATGTATGAAAACTAGACAATATTATCTGTTATGCTAATTGCACATCATTCACTCTTTTAAGTCTCTTTTCACAAAACATAGTTATAAGCAATTGCAGACACTTAATGAACCTTTTTAGTGTAACATAATAAAGTATATACAGATTGCTAATTATGAATCAATAAAACTCTGACACTTTTCAAGGACATTTCAAATTTTATTGCACATATTTCAATACTGAATTGCTTGATATCATATTACAAATGTATATGACAATGAATATCAAACCATTTTATTAACCTTTCACCTGCTTGAATGTTGCCACCTACACAGAGCTAAGTCAAATACACAGCTGTCAAATCTGGCGAGGCTCTATACATATGCCAGGCTGTCTTTCAATTTTCATATCCACAAATGGAGAATGGAAAGTACTGAAATTTAAGGTTGGATGTCTATCGCAATAATTCAGCAGGTAAAGGGTTAATCAAATGTTGAGGAAATACTTACCTTATTATGAAGAAATATTACATTAATGATTTTCTTATCATATACCAGCACAGCTTTTGCAAGTCAGCAACATTGATACTACACTTCTGTGTATAACTTTCAGGATAAGATTATATGACTTGTCATTTCAAATGACACTAAATATTTGAAAACATTACAGAATAAGCTTGTAGGTATGGAAATTACAAAATAGACTGTCTTTTTTACAAATAATACTTACATAATGTACTGGTATGTGATAAAATTATAACTATTTAATTATTTTTGTGTGATTTTCTTACTAAATACATTGAAAAAATTGAATAACAAAATAACATGTTCACAATAGGCAACAAGAGCACCGCTAGGCGGAGCATTATATGCCCGAAAGTATTTTTTTTTTTTTAGTAAGGATGACCTTAACCGTTGACCTTTTGACCCCAAAATCAATAGGGGTCTTCTACCCAATATGGACAATCATCCTATGAAGTTTGAACATTGTGGGCCAAATGGAACTTAACATATGCTCCGGCAACTGTTTTCAGTATCATGGTAATAGTGACCTTCACCTTTGACCTTTTGACCCCAAAATCAACAGGGGTCTTCTACCCAATATGGACAATCATCCTATGAAGTTTGAACATTGTGGGTCAAATGGAACTTAAGTTATGCGCGAAACATATTTTTCAGTATCAATGTAATAGTGACCTTCACCTTTGACCTTGTGACCCCAAAAAATCAATAGGGGTCTTAAAA